CGATAGGTCCTGGGTTCGATTCTCATAGGATGGGATCGTAGATGTCCACTGTCGAGGAGTCCCACAGTAGAACGAAACGGCCATCCAATGCTCCCAGGTTTTTCGTGATGGTCTATTTATGTTTTCATCTATTTACTTAAAACCTCTTAGTTCATCTCATTACATTTATCGTTTCACTATATTCATGAATTCTAAAAGACAGAAAAATAGGTTAGAGATTGTTGACTAGACATATCTATATAATTAAGAATTTATATTTGGCGGTAAAATAAAAAACAAAAGTCAAATGGAAAAAACGTAATTAGTTTTATTTGTTTTAATTTATCAAGAATTTCGATTTCTTTTTCTTTTTGACTTCTCATTTGTCTGTTTAACTGTGGTTTTTCTTTCTTTTGACTTTCTATGATTGAATATTAACTTAGTTTGATATTCGTCAATGCAAAGCGTTTTTTAGTGAGTTAGTTTTCCACGGGTCGGGGTCGCTAACTCCATGCCCAACCCATCTCTTTTATCTCAGCTTGGGGACCGGGTGTAATGTCAGAGGGGCTCCAGACGGAGTTCTTCAATGAAAAGCATCTAAAATTGTTGGTGAAACAACTTTTTTTTTCTCTCAAAGAATTCGGACATTCACAGCACAAGGTTTCAGTGAAGGATTATTATAGGGATATATGGTAGATAACAAGATCGGACTTGAGTTTAACCTTATGGTTTCTACTAAGGTGATTTCAAATATTTGACATAACACTAAAGGTATTGCGGTTTCTAAACACTCTAACTAGTAATTACATTATTTCTTGATGAGAAAACTTTGACTGACATAATGGTGATTACAGACAACCTGTTAGTTATCAATCAGTCATAAACAACATGGAACCTATACAAGGTGTCGTACTATAATAGAAAAGCGAGTTAAAGTTATCAAGAAAAATTCCAGAGATGTAGAAGTAGTAGCACCACCATCGATAGTAGAAAAGATTACGCATAGTCAATAACATTCGAGTTACTTACGCCTATTACTCCTCGTGGAGGAGCATAGGACGACCACTAGCACTCTCCATACAACTCTGTCCTGGGCAATCTTTTCCAGTTGCTATTCATATCTGCTTGTAATTCTCGATGCATTGTGTTCTTCGGCCTTCCTCCTTTCCGTTGCCCTTCACGATTCCATGTTAGGGCTTGCCTCGTGATGCAGTTTGATGATTTCCGTAGTGTATATCCTATCCATTTCCATTGTCTTTACACAATTTCTACTTCAGCTAGAAGCTGGTTTGTCTTCTCCCACAGAAGGCTGTTGCTGATGGTATCCGACCAATGGATGTTGAGTATCTTGCTTAGACAACTATTTATAAATACTTATACCTTCTTGATGATCGTATCATTCGAGTAGAGACAATAAATTTACCTGATGAAAAGTATAAAACGATTTTAAAGCTGACGATATATTGGAAGACAATGAATGAATTCAACTACAGAACTCATTATAAAAACTGAAACAGTTGGATACAATCACACATGAAGTAGTAGGTATGATATTCTATGAAGTATTAAATAGAAGGAAACAGCTATTGAAGTTAATAATTTGGGGTATAAGATGGAAATAAAGTACGTAAGCAGAGGTAGGAGATCAAATCCATCAGAGAGCATCAGTTCTCCTAAGATTGAAGGCATTCTTTGCTGACGGGTGCCTAATAGTGCAAAACCTAAGTATATGATTTTCTGTCGACTGTTTCCAGCCACTATCCTACATCTAAATATAGGAATGAGATGTTGAGTCACCTAGACTAGTAACCATATCGTAACTTGACCTATAGAACTCGATAAGCAGTAAGAACGACTTGACATACAAAACATTAGTCACTACCCAGTGATCGGCCTACAGTAAAAAGAGGTTTTGGTCAGTTTAGAGTACAGAATTTTTTTCACTAAACATATTACAATACTTACCACTCTTGTATGAATAATGTTGTTTTAAATAAGTAGTATGGGAAAAATATGAATAATCAAACTAACTGGGAGCTGTTGTTGCTTTCTAGGTCTGTAGTGTACAAAAGAATGGTAAAATACGTTTAGTTTGTAGAAGAGAACTAAATTTCTTAAATTAGCATTAATCTAGATGATTTAGTCCAAGGAGACTGTCACATTTTATTAATCAACGTTATATTGATTGGCCTTCAATAATCATTTCACTCTCTCTACATATATTTATATAATCACAGAGAGGTATTGTGAAGATTTTGGTAATTTAATAATTGAATTCATGAGTCAATTGAAGCTAGACCACCATGAAAAACCTGTAAGCACTGGACGAGGGGTTCGCGTCGTAAGTTAGTGAATGAAACGATGGTGTTTGAAGTGAACGGTAGTGGGTTTTGGTCCTGAAATGAACGTCAACTATGAGATGCAGGTACACCCAGCTGACGTGTTCCAAATAGGACGAAATGCATATCAAATTGGATCCCACAGCTGGTCACTATCCATCTTTGCTTAGAACGCTTGTGAATGAAAGCAATATCGAGGTGAAACGCATAGTATGCACATATGCCAATAAGAGACTGATCAATTGCAATCCTAAACATTAATCGAGAGATTCAGGTTATCAATAGCAAGTGAACTAATATATTTATTTGACAAAATTAAACAGTCAGAATTGAGAACAGTCCCAGTAGATGAACATCTGGAAAACTTGTTAAGTCGAGAATTCTTCTCAGTCATACTACAAAAATCAATTCAGTTATCAGATTATTGTTGGGGAAGAGTATAAATAACAATTTAGGATTATTGTATTTATTTTTTAATTAAAAAAATACACTATTGTTCATAGACATAACGTTATAAAGGGGGCATAACAAGAACAATGATTAGTTAAATTTTAGAGTAATATAATCTAGAAAGACAATTGAATAGATTATATAAGTACTCAGTTTTATGGTTTACGTTTAATTATACACGTATAATATGGTTGGCAGTTGTTTTGAGTTTCTGAAGAACATCTGGAATTCAAAACAACTGTCCACAATCCAACACCAAAGTCACAATTTTCAATACAAATGTCAAAACACTTCTACTGTATGCAACGGAAACTTGGAGAACTACCACAACCATCATCTAGAACATACAAGTGTTTATTAACAGTTGTCTATGCAAAATACTTCGGATTCGTTGGTCAGACACTATCAGAAACAACCTACTATAGGAGAGAACAAACCCGATCTCAGCGGAGAAAGTGATCAGGATGAAGTGATGGAAGTGGATAGGACACACATTGAGGAGAGAACCGAACTGCATCACAAGGTAAGCCCTCATATGGAATCGTCAAGGTCAAATGAGGAGACGAGGAAGACCACAGAACACATTAGTTTGAGAAATGGAGACAGGTATGAGAAGAATGAACGAGAACTGAGTAGGAGTAGAAAGGAATGTCAAGAATGCTGGTTGGCGATCTATGCTACTCCACGAGGATCAACAGGCGTAAGTAATTTTAAAAAATCCATTTGATGTTATCCGAAATGACATTTTAGTATAAATTGTATCTGTATGCCTGAATCTTTACTAAGATGTTCTTTGAAGTTCAAAGCGTATTGGTTATCTTCATTTTATTCATCAATATTTACAATTCTTACAATCTTTTATGATTGAGCTTATGAACCAATTGATGTTAGACCACCACCTTCGGAAACGTGGAAACATTGGACGGCCGTTTCGTCCTATTGTGGGACTCCTCAGCAGTTCGCATTCACGACCCCGCTAGCGGGATTCGAACCTAGGGCCTTCGGTCTCGCTCCGAACGCTTAACCCCACTGGACCACTGAGCCGGCATTCAATGGTGACAGTGTCTAACATCAACCAGTCCACGAAATTGCGCGACCATCTTCCATTGTACTGAGGTAGATACCTGTCTCTACCCAACATGGATTAGTTCCACTGGTCACGGCTTCTCACTAGAACTCCAAGAATTCCCTCATGAAGTTAGTCACTAGTGAGCATATATTACAATTTTGTTAAATTTTAGAAACTCATTAAGTACCTTAAATGCATTTGAATCCCCATGTGAGCTCAAAAATTTTAGTTAATGTATTACATTTCAAACTAATTTGCTCAATAGTTAAAGCTAATGTTTTATTAATTTGAAGTTTGATTATCACTGTATCCTCATTTTCCTATTTGCATAGTTTACGTATATTACTCAACAGTAGGGTAAAAGAAAATTAGATGAGATTATAACCAATCATGTATAAGATAACAGGTCTCGGATTTTGGCATGAAATTCATTCATTCATTCATTTGGCTAAATAGAATTTTGACATTATAACTGATATCAGTTTGTTATGAACCCACCTCCCCTAAATCTAATTTCTAATCCTAAACATCAAATGTAAATCATAATTCTAATTCCTTAAATTGGTTTCTAACTCTCATTTGATCCTAATTATTAGGTGAACACTCTCAAGGTCAGTTTAATATCACTGAAAGGTTATCCATCAATGATAGTCTTATCGAAAATTGTTCTTATGAATGCTTACTTATTTACGCCTGTTACTCCCAATGGAGCATGGGCCGCTGACCAACATTCTCCAACCCACTCTGTCCTGGAACTTCTTTTCCAATTCCATCCAATTCTTGTTCATTTTTCTCATGTCTATCTCCATTTCTCGGCGTAATGTGTTCTTTGGTCTTCCTCTTTTCCTTTGACCTTCAGGATTCCATGTGAGGGCTTGTCTTGTGACGCAGTTCGGTGCTTTCCTCAATGTGTGTCCTATCCACTTCCATCACTTATTCCTGATTTCTTCCTCCACTGGGATCTGGTTTGTTCTCCCCCACAGTACGTTGTTGCTAATAGTGTCCGGCCAATGGATCTGAAGTATTTTGCGTAGACAACTGTTAATAAACACCTGTATTTTCTGGATGATGGCTTTTGTAGTTCTCCAGGTTTCTGCCCCATACAGTAGAACTGTCTTGACATTTGTATTGAAAATCCTGACCTTGGTGTTGGTTGAGTTCTTATGAATAATAATAATAATAATAATAATAATAATAATAATAATAATAATAATAATAATAATAATAATAATAATAATAATAATAATAATAGATTTTTGTTCAATCCGGATACTGTTGTTTTACAAAAGAATAGTAACAATCCATATCAGAACATTTTTATTTCCCACGATATCTATGGGACCAGTAATTTTGTCGTCATTTAGATCGAACGATGTTGTCGAAAGGGTTCTCCACTTTAGTGGCCCAATATCTGACACCAAGGTGATCGTAATGATGATTGTTGTTAAAATATATATGTCCTCTATCCTCGTATATAATCCATCGACTTTAATCGTGTTAGTCAATAATAGAATTAAATAAGTCAAATAACGAGAATGAACTTGTGAATACATATATTTTATATATGAAGCGAATAGAATAGAGAGAAGAGAAATGACGCCCAGTGGAGATGGTGGGTTAGCCAACTCCCGTTTAACCAAACGTTAATCAATAAGTTACAGATATGTGATGAGTAATGGGATAATCAATGTGTACACACACCTATGCGCTCATATAAACACAGCCAAGATTGATAAGCGGCTAATGAACAAGGTCAGAATGTGACTGAAGTAGAATGAATAGAATGGGCTGTTCGATTGCTAGAATAAGATATATGGGGTTAACATAATAACTGACACTACATATCTTTCACTAGGACTGTCAAATCTTATTTAATATATAGAGAGTAATCTGTTGAAAGATAACTTAGAGTAACTCGATCAGTATTTGAAAATGTCAAATATGAATATATAAATATCGTTATGTACGAATTAAAATGTAACTAGAATTCAAGCCTATTTTATTAGGATTCTATTAGTAAAGTATATTTTCAAATGCTGAAAATCAATCAAACATCCTTCAACTCAATTTGTAGTTGTAGTGGTGGCTTACTGTTAAGATATTGGAAACTTATTAGATTTCTTAGTAGATAAGATCAAGTAGGATAAAAGTTATTGAACTCTAATAAATGTTCTAATTTCTAGTCTATAGTGTATGTCAAATGGTAGTCTATCAGATTAGGATAGGAGATCAATGAACTAAACGACTGGATATATTACACATCATTTATTTTTTGTAAAATCTATATATACTGAGTTGAATTTCACCGTAATTTATGGAACTTTTCATTCTTAATTCAGTTTGCTGACGTTATGATAACTTAATTGCTTACGCCTGTTACTCCTCGTGAAGGAGCATAGGCCTCTCACAAGCGTTCTCCATTCAACTCTTTCCTGGGCAATCCTTTCCAGCTCCTTCCAGTTGTTATTCATCCTTTTCGTATCTGATTCAATGTGTTCTTTGGCTCTCCACTTTTTCGCTTCCCTTCACGATTCCATAGTAGCTCCAGCCTCGTGATACAGTTTGGTGATTTCCGAAATGTATATCCTATCCATTCCCATCGACTTTTCCTAATTTCTTCTTCAGCTAGAAGCTGATTTGTTCTCTCCCACAGAAGGCTGTTGCTGATGGTATCCGGTCAATGAATGTTGAGTATCTTGAGTAGACAGCTATTTATAAATACTTGTACCTTTTTGATGGCGGTTGTTGTAGTTCTTCAAGTTTCAGTTCCGTACAGTAGAACTGTCTTGATGTTGTTATTGAAGATTGTGAATTTGATATTGTTCGACAGTTGTTTTGAGTTCCATATGTTCTTCAATTGTTATGATAATCTTGATGTAATTGTTTAGTTCAATTTCATTGAAATCGTGAATCAATCAATGTTAGAACACTAATGAAAACCTGAAATTACTGAATGGTCATTTCGTTCTAGTATGGGATTACTCAATAGTGAGCACTCACGATTACGTATGTGAAAATCCAACGCGAAACCTACAGTCTCGCTTGTGAATGTATAACCTGTAGACCACTGAGCCGAGATCCAACGATGTTAATGTATAACTTCAATCAATCCACGATATTGTACGATCACATTTGGAGTAAAATAATTGAAACTATACTGTTAGTCAAATAAATAGTATGAATTATCATACCTTCCTACATTTAATTAAAATTCGGAGGATCTGTGGTATCAGTTACTATATTGAACTCATATAACTTATTGTTGTTGAGTCACGTTTTCACCTTGTTAATTATTCACTTATCAACACACACACACATGTTATGTAAATGTGTGTGCATTTCATATCCTATTCATCATATGTCTGTAACTTACTTTTGTATGACTATAAATATTGATTATTTCTTCATTAAATGGAATTGGCTCACATGCTTCACTCTGTTCTCTAGACTTCCTTCACTTCGTCCTTCTGATTATCTGCTCAGATCAATAAGTGTACAAAATATACATATTCAAAAATCCACTCTCGTATTTGACTTATTTAACTCTGTTATTCACCAATGCGATTTAAGTCAACAATTATATATGAGAATAGGCAACATCTGTACTTCAATAACGTACATACGATCTAACTGGAGTCAGATATTAGGCCATTAAAGATAAAACATCCATCTAGGATTTTACTTAAACAATCATATGCTTTTGTTCAAGTGATAACCCACAAATTAATCAAAACGTACATGGTAGATTCCGAAGTAAAATATTAATATTACCACTTATGTAGTAAATAAATTTTCAATAAATAAGGCACTAATATCATTCGATAATTATTATTTTCACCATGTTAGTAAACAAGACGTTCGACATCGTGTGTTCGGGCACAGAGACGATAATCCAATTGGTGTCACTATCTTGAAACATCGAATTTGGTGGCTTGGATATGTTCTACGAATGTCGTCCCAGAGAATTTCATGTGGTGCATTATTTACGGATGCTGAGACCGGTTGGAAAAAGTGGAGAGGCGATCAGCGTATGACATGGTGTCGGGGTATGAAAGAAAGTTACAAAGGGCTGGCTTTTGTTGGTCCTTCACGACTCCCTGACTGGAGTCCGAGAGATGGCGCAACACAGTGGCTAGAGACGTTATCAGATATGGTTCAGAATAGAAGCCAGTGGCGATCCTGCTGTAACTTTCTCTTACTTTCTCCATAAAAAGTGGTTGTAACTTCTTTAACTGAAAGAATTACTTTTGGTTGTACCTTACCGTTTCTCCCATTATTATTATTGCTATTTCACTACCATACACTAATCTGTGGTCGTTATTGTTCTCTCTCCCTCTTTTTTATACACACCTTACATCCATTTTCTCTTCCCATTCTCATTGTTTTATGTGGTGCCCCCTTGTACAAATATTTATGTGTTCAAATAAATAAATCAATAAAATTCATTTTTATAAATCTATGTTATGACAATGAGGTTCTTTGAAGATTTTAGTCATTTTATAGTTAAATTCATGAATTAATTAAAGCTAGATCATTATGGAAAACTTAGAAGCACTAGATGTCTGTTTCGTCCCAATGTGAAACTCTTCAACAGTGCACATCTACGACCCCGTCCTCGCAACATTCTAGATTTTCTATGATGGTCTAGCTTCAACTGACTCATGAATTCAACTATGAAGTTACTATAATAGTTTACTCAAACCAAATATAATTCTATAGATGAATAATTTTCTTAACTAATAGTAAGAATAATTCATTATCGATTACAATTATTATTACTATTGTGGTGAACAGAACACGGGTGGTGACAACCGAGTTGAGTCGGCGGTGCGCTGACCTCCACAGCTCCGTCGACTTGCGTGGGCCACGACATCCGACATCCACCCGGTACCTGGGACGCTTAGTACTCATACCCCGCCGGCCTGCTGAGCCATCTACATCCGATTTCCGCTCAGCAACCGCACACCCCACTGCTCCTCCCCGTCGACAGCACCCTCTACAGCCACCACAGCCCCGCCAGAACACTCCACTCGACACGACCTCCCCGCACCAGACTGCCCCAACCAGCACCTCAGCTCGAGGCCCGCAGCGGCGTCCGCAGAACAGCATGGTTGGCTGCGACACCAAATGCAGTGAACAGAACACGGGTGGGTACAACTGCGTTTCGCACGGCATAACATTACAGAGTTACTTGGTAAAATAGAAAAACCATATAGTAAATCGTTAATTTACGAAATATCAATCCATCATATCAAACCGGAATGTTGCTGTTGCAATTATCAATCCATTGTCTTACATTTCATTGTTCATGCGTTTTTTCTACAAATCGCATTGTGTTCCCTTTTTTCCTTTCTTGACCTTCTCCCATCCTCTGCTGCCAGACATTTTGCTTTTAACTCGCGTCATATACTACTCACATCAATATAAGTAGCACGCACCACACTATTATTATTATTATTATTATTATTATTATTATTATTATTATTATTTACTTGAATCTTCTCATTGATGTTTAGGACTAGAATTGATCAGTCACTTATTGACATATGTGAATACTGTGCATATTGCTTCAATGGTGTTTGAAGTAAACGGTAGTGGGTTCGAGTCCCCAAAGTGAACATCAACTATGAGATGCAGGTGCATCCAGCTGACGAGTTCCAATTAGAACAAAACAGACATTTTGTATTCCATTGTTAACCATTATCCATCTTTGCTTATAATGAAATTTAGCAATAATTTTGTTTCTCAACTGTGTGATTGCAAAAACATCTTTCCAGTTAGAATTGTTTAACTATTCATGTGTTGACTAAGAAGAAAAATAATTTGACACCGATCGATTGTTTAATGATAGTTAATTCAATGTTTTTCTATTACTTTATACTATTGGGAGTTAGAAAATGGAAATGAGTTTAGTTGATGCAAAATTTAGGCTCACTCAATTTGTTATGTATCTGCTATCTTGAGGTCAGTCATGTGCCCTATGAGATCTAAACCTATTTTAGATAACTTACTCTCATTATAGGTTAATTTCTTCCAGAATGTCATAGTTTCACTGTGTCTGTGACTACGAAACTGAATTAATTGAGTTTAAATCGACTGATTAACATCGATTTATTAGATGTTATCGATAATTCTTGCTAATGGATACTAACTAGAATAACATGTCGATTATCATACAGTATGGAGACCAATGAAAACACGATAGATATCATCTACGAGATAAACTGTAGCAAATACGAGAGATGCTGTTGGATAAAGCGTCTGTCTCCTTCACTTCTATCTTTGTGAGCATCAGTAAGCAATTAAGTGCCTAAACATAACTTTGGTTATAATAATAGATGTAGAAAATTATGAACATAAATTC